TGGAGTCTGCAAAAGACCTGTGACTGGGACGGAGATTTATCTTCCAACAGGACAATGATCCAAAACATAAAGCCAAATCTACAATGGAATGGTTCACAAATAGACGTATCCAGGTGTTAGAATGGCCAAGTCAAAGTCCAGACCTGAATCCAATCGAGAATCTGTGGAAAGAGCTGAAGACTGCTGTTCACAAACGCTCTCCATCCAACCTCAGTGAGCTCGAGCTGTTTTGCAAGGAAGAATGGGCAAGAATTCCAGTCTCTCGATGTGCAAAACTGATAGAGACATACCCCAAGCGACTTGCAGCTGTAATTGCAGCAAAAGGTGGCGCTACAAAGTATTAGCGCAAGGGGGCCGAATAATATTGCATTCAGTTTTTTATTTGTTAAAAAAGTTTAAATTATCCAATAAATTTCGTTCCACTTCACGATTGTGTCCCACTTGTTGTTGATTCTTGAAAAAAAATGTAATTTTTATATTTTTATGTTTGAAGCCTGAAATGTGGCGAAATGTTGAAAGGTTCAAGGGGGCCAAATACTTTCGCAAGGCACTGTAAATTGGACTTTGCTGTGGAGCCACTAACGAACGGGCAGAACTGGAATCCATTTTAGGAATTTCATAAAGAGACGAACGAGTCGAAGAATGTGTGAGAATATAGCAGCTGAAGGCTTTAAATTTTGGTGCTGTTTGGCTGTTTTTCCTGCTTTTACATAAATAAACCAATATTTTCGAATGAATTGCTTTGATTTGGGGCAATAACTCTTTTATTCTATATTTACTCACGGCTTCAATTGATTCAAAGCGATGGACGTTTTTGGAGATTCACTTTTACGCATAGGTCCATCCATCCATTTCAACCCCTTTCCATTTCTGAGGTTTGTATCTATAATTATATATTTATTTTTACAGCCTAGATTTACAAATGAATAGAGCTGGACTGGGAGCAATTGCAGCCTGTGTTTCCGCTTGATTCAAATGCACAATACAACTAATTTTGGAGCATATTTCAATGTCGTTGTCTAGTTGGCGTTCTAAGATGTATGTTTTTACGCACGGTCTTTACGCGTCCGTTCATAGGAGCAGCTTCATGTTGGATTCATTCTGATGTTGGATGTTGGACTCAGTCTGTGCCTATAGCAAACACGGAGAGGAGACCATACGAATATACGCGCGGAAAAGGGGGTCAAGTCCCAGCGGAACGTCTGCGCTTCCTCCGCTCTGATCGCGCGCAGTGAGACGCCATGTCATGAACCAGCAGCAGCAGCAGCAGCAGCAGCAGCACATCTGGGCCGCTCCACTCCCACGCCCATTGGACAGAACCGGGACCCCCTCGACCACCACCTTACCCTCCCCCCCACACACACGCAGCGCTGGTTTCAGGCGCTCACGGCCTGTGCCTGGTTCAGACACAGTTCATGGTGTCAATCTTCATCCAGAGCCAGGCGGGAGCGCGCGGACCGAGCCAAGAGCTTTAAAAAGACACACATGCGGCTGCTTTAGCTTCTTGTGTCCTTCTCGGTCCATCTCGGGTCCGTGTTTTGCGCAGAAAGTCGGAGGTATAATCGCAGAGAGAAAGATTAGCCGCGGGACCCTCAGCGCGCGGGCATCTGCTGAGGTAAGGCTGAGTTATGCGACTGGAATGGAGTGGAATGGAGTGGAATGGAGAGGCTGAGCTCTGCGTGGAGGCTGCTGTGTGGATGTCGAAGATTTATGGCAGAGAGAGATTTATGTGAAGCAGCAGCGCGCGTCTCTCTGAGCGTAAGAAATATGTCTAAGTCTAATAGATCCCAACAGCGCGCTTTAGGTGTGGATCCATTTGGAAAAGACAATGCGTAATTACGCACAGGGACGCTGCTTGTAATCCATTGTTTGTTTTGAAATATATGAAGTGAAGGCATCCGGAGCAGCCGCGGTGGAGGCGGGAGGCTGGTGTCCGTGTCCCGGTCGCCGGTTTGACTCCCGTATCTCCCAGTGCACGCGCTCCATCTCCGCTGTCATTAATTATCAGTTGTTGGATTCCGTGCCGCAGATAGACATGGATCCTGGGTGTGCTTTGCTCTAGTGGGGATTTTTTTTTTTTTTTCAAAGGCAGTGCGTGTGCACGCGCGTGTGTGTGACTATAAGGTTCAGAAGCGACGACAAGTTTGTGCCATGAGTCAGAAAGACAAATGTCTGGATCCATGTTGTTGATTTTAACGGATTTACGGCGTCGCTTTGTGACGTTTGGAGGAAATCTCAATCATAAAAACATAAACACATAGGTCTGTTGTTTTTAACTGTGAGTGTTTGGTCTGATATATTTTACTATTGATATCCTATATATATATATATATATATATATATATATATATATATATATATATATATATATATATATATATATATTTGTTTTCAGTGTTTTCATTTTGGAACAGAGTGAGGTCTATTATTTCCATGTTATCGGCGCCATTTTGAGAAATAATAAAATAATATTTTTTTGAGTTGGTTTGTGATTTACATTTGGATTCAAACTGTCTTTTTAAATCTCCATTAAACTTTTATTATTATCATTGTTACGGATTCAAATATAACATATTTTTAGGAAATAGTTTTGCAAAATAAATGTAAAAATCTCGTGGTGTAGAACCCTATTTTTCATTGTATTATTTTTTACAAACTTTGAATAAAATAGAAAAATCTGCACTTTTCACTAATGACCAAAGTTAAGCTCCTGAAGCAGACGGCGGCAGAATGAGTCGTGAACGGAGCTGACGGTGAAGCGTAACGGGAGAGACGCGCGGAGCCGCGGCCCATGATTTATGGCGGTGCCAACAGATTGCTTACTCAAGACGCTGCACCCCCCTCACCGCCGCGTATCCATCCGCGCGCATTGTCAAGGCCTCTGTCTGTCCCTGCACCAAAACAAAGACCAAGAAGACTCTGGTCAAACTAAAACATAGATACGATCTGACGTCATGTGGGAACGTAACGTCCCGTTTAATGTTTGTGGCTCTGACTCTGACACCGACGTTTGAACGATGATGTGGATGATGGTTATACCCGCTTTGGGTTCTTTCTATTGTACATGGTTTTAGTGAAACGGAGAAACCGTAGCACCCGGAGCCACTCTCCACCGCTCACTCTCTTCTCAGCAAGAGGTGGATCTTTTTACTTTTTAATTAAAAATTTTTTTTTTTTTCAAATAACTTTGATCTAAAACTAACTGTCAAAGTATTTTTCTGTTGTATTGACATTTTCATTAGTTTGTAGATTAGGCAAGGCAAGTTTACACAAGGCAATTCAAAGTGCTGAACAAAACAAGAAAGCGTTAAAATCATAAATAATCACAGAACATTAAAAAGAAAGATAAAAATATAAAATCCCTCAGTTGTATGCACAGCTAAACAGAACTGTCTTTAACCTGGTTTTAAACATTGTCATTGAGGAGGCCTGTCTCACATCTTCAGGAAGATTGTTCCAGATTTTAGCAGCATGAATCTGAAAAGCAGCCTCCCCATGTTTAGTTCTGACTCTGGGCACTAACAGGAGTCCAGTCCCTGTGCTCCTCAGAGTCCCAGCAGGAGTCCAGTCCCTGTGCTCCTCAGAGTCCCAGCAGGAGTCCAGTCCCTGTGCTCCTCAGAGTCCGGGCTGGTTCATATGGGACTAACATGTCACTAATATATTTTGGTGCGAGGCCATGGAGAGACTTGTAACAAGCAGAGCTGTTTTAAAGTCTATTCTCTGAGCCACAGGAAGCCAGTGCAGAGACCTGAGGACTGGACTAATGTGGTCGTACTTCCTGGTTCTAGTCAGGACTAATGTGGTTGTACTTCCTGGTTCTAGTCAGGACTAATGTGGTCGTACTTCCTGGTTCTAGTCAGGACTAATGTGGTCGTACTTCCTGGTTCTAGTCAGGACTAATATGGTCGTACTTCCTGGTTCTAGTCAGGACTAATATGGTCGTACTTCCTGGTTCTAGTCAGGACTAATGTGGTCGTACTTCCTGGTTCTAGTCAGGACTAATATGGTCGTACTTCCTGGTTCTAGTCAGGACTAATGTGGTCGTACTTCCTGGTTCTAGTCAGGACTAATGTGGTCGTACTTCCTGGTTCTAGTCAGGACTAATGTGGTCGTACTTCCTGGTTCTAGTCAGGACTAATGTGGTCGTACTTCCTGGTTCTAGTCAGGACTGATGTGGTCGTACTTCCTGGTTCTAGTCAGGACTAATGTGGTCGTACTTCCTGGTTCTAGTCAGGGCTCGAGCTGCTGCATTTTGAATGTACTGCAGCTGTTTTACAGCCTGTTTGGACAGACCTGTGAGCAGGCCATTGCAGTAGTCTAACCTACTGGAGACAAATGCATGGATAAGAATCTCCAGGTCTGCTTTAGACACTATGTTTTTGATCCTGGCAATGTTTTTTAGATGGTAAAAAGCTGCTGATGTTACTGATTTGACTGTGTAGTAACAATACTACACTACAGTAACAATACTACACTACAGTAACAATACTACACTATTGGTCAATATTGATCTTCAATATATTCTTATAAATTGAGATGACCTTTTTCATTTCAATACCAATACATTTTGGGAATAGTTACTCTTTTCTACTCTACTCTATATCTACTCTACCCTACTCTACTCTAAGATAAGACAGACTTTATTGATCTCACACTGGAGAAAGCCTCTACTCTACTCTACCTGGTTGCGTTTCCATTACATCCTAGCAACCTACCCAGTACAAACCAGCGGAAATTCCTTGGTAACCATGGCTTCCATCTACTCTCTGGCCAGTCTCTGTCACTTCAGACTGTAGCAGCTCCTTAGTCCCGCGTTTGGGTTTGATCTGAAAACGTTCCATTTGTTCAGATCCAAAAACACAGATAAAGAAACATGCTCCGGGCTCTGAGTCTGTGGTCAGTGTAGCGTTAGCTTCAGCGCCAGCTTTAGCTTTAGCTTCATATCAGAGACAGGATCAGGGAACAGATCCCTCACTGCAGGAGCGCGGCCTCAGAGCGCAATGTCAACAACTGCAGCAGAGCCTGGAGGAGCCTGGACAGCCCTGCAGCCTCTGAGCTCATCACTGCTGCAGACGGAGACAGAGACACAAGGTTTTAAATCAACTTCTCACATCAGAGCAGTACATTTGACTGATGCGACACAACGACAGTGTTTGGCGCTGTATAAATGTCAGAAGTAAAACACACTTAAAAAACTCCAACTCTTCTTTGCATAATTCAATTTAATGTTCTAAGTTGAGATTGAACCATTTCTTCCTGTTTGACTGATTTTACTGTCTTCTCTCCTTTACCCCAGAAATGTCCAGTTTGTTTATAAAGCACTAACAAAGGTGGACCAAAGCACTGTACATAAAAACACACAATTACACAGTTAGAAAATACAACGCAGTGGCAAAAAAACACACTATTTACAGCAAAAAATTCACTCAAAATCAGAAATGATAAATATGGAGGACATTCTTGGAGACATGAGTAACACACCTCTGTTTAAAAAGTATGGACCTGTTTCCTGAAAGTGGAGGAGGCTGGTTCCAACATGAGCTAGGAGCTAATCTCAGGGGTGTCCAAACTTTTAAGAAACACTTTAGTTCATCCGACAGAAAACCTGGATTTATTAAACTGAATTGACTGAATTTGGAAATTTAAAATGAGTTGTAAAATGTCTTTATTAATTACTTTTTTAAGTCAATAGAAGCCAGAGCGAGTTGGAGCGAATCTTCATCCCTGAGCACTTCCCTATTGGACTTCATAGAGCTAGCGGGTTAGCGTTGTCCAGAACAGTCTGTGGTCTTGTCTGAGTCGTGTGAGAATCATATCCCTCGGCTGATGTTTGTTGTATTTAGACTTTTGCACAGTTTGACATAAAATGCAAGTGGAGCCCTCGGAAGCAAAGCAGGACAGGGCTTGGTTAGTTTCTGATGGGAGACCTCCGGGGACCGCTCTGCAAAATGTTCCCACTGAGGGTGCCACAGACGGCTACAGCTCATGCGCAAGACACTTCACCTGCCTTGTGTGTGTGTGTGTGTGATGTGTGTGTGATGTGTGTGTGGTCGGTGGTGGGAGGGGCCGACGCCACATTCTGGTTGCCTCGCTTCTGTCAAGCTGCCCCAAAGCAGCCGTGGCTACAGACTTGTGCTGTAGATAGTAAATGTAAGAAGTTATGTTTCCTATGCAGCACTAGCTTCTTTACACTTCTGTACCTATTGTAAGAACCTGCTCAGCCACAAGAGTAGTTAGTAGTATAGCTGTGATAAATTACTCCTACTGTCACGTGGAGAAATGAAGAAAAGGGAAACCAAAATGCAGGGCTGAAAATCATATGAAAAACACGACAGAGACAAACATGGAAGAGAGGTACATTTACAACGATCAGCAACACGGACAGGACACGCAAACTCAAAATGACAACACAACAAAGAGACAAAATAATCCACACACAGTGAACAACACACAGCAGAAAGACAGACGTATGTGGCAGCGTTAACTTCTGCGACCAAAGAACCAAAGAACGTCTCCTTCTGTAGTAGTCTGTAGCCACAATAGTCTATGTAACTAGTTAATTATATCTCCTAATGTCTCTCATGCAGTACTAGCTTCTTCACACTTTTGTCTAACCTTCAAAGTGTGACAATGCGGGCTTTTATGAGTACCGGTATTTGGTCACTAGGGGGCAGTCTGCCGTGTATAAAATCTCTCTTATACCTATCGTCATGTCTGCCTCTTGCCTGCTTTCTGGTTCTGCCGGTTTTGTTTGCTGTCACTCTTTGGCTCTAAGGTAAATATTGTCACGCCAAAGTAGTGTAGATATGAAAGTCCTAAGTGTTGCTTGTTTGTGTAGCTCCGAGGCCTGTGAGTTCTGCTTTGTCTATACCTGCACAATGAACACTATGAAGGTGTGGCTGTCTACGCTTCGGCGAACTGATCCAACACCAGCATGTCCAACTGTGACGCAAACTTAAGATAACTGAACTCAAAAAAGATCTGATGTATTGATAATATGCCTTTTTTTTAATCAACGCTTCTTAACTGTGTTACTTTATGGCTTTGGTTCGAAATGTCCATGTTTTAGCTAACTACGAACCATTCCATATCTGCCACAGTAGTCGTTTGAAACAGTATTCTTACAATAGTTGTGATAAATTACTACTGCTACCACACCGTGAACAATATACAGTAGAACAGTGTCTCCCAAAGTGGGGTCCGCGGCCCCCTGGTGGGCCGCGAGGGTACTGCAGGGGGGCCGCGGGAGGTCATAAAAAATAAATTATTTAATGTTAAATTTATAATGTTTTGTTTGTAATATTAAAATATTTGTGTTCATTATTTGACTTGAATAATCCACTGTAATCATTTTTGTATTACAATGTTTGTAGCAGAGGCTATTTCCCCAAAATAAAATAACCAGAAGAGCCTGTTCTTAATGTTGTCTTCTTGGTTATTATTTTGGGGGGCCACGCAGACCCGTCAGATTTTTAAGGGGGCCTCGGTGTTACTGAGTTTGGGAATGGCTGCAGTAGAAAGATAGACATGTGGCACCATTACGACACTTCTGAGACCAAAGAACCAAAGAGCACATCTCCTTTAAAATCCAAGCTATAAACTCCCAAATGACCCGCGGCACGTCCGTTGTAGAATCAGTGGAACCAGCGAAAACCCAAACGACTGCTGTGACCCGGCGGTTTGCTCACTTCCGCCGTTGAACCCACAACTCCTCCCGGATTGATTTTGTCATACATCACTGACACTGTGAGAAAAGCTCTGCCCAGCGAGTCCTGTGCCAAGTCTGCGGCTAAGGTTACGGCGCTAGCAGCTCCGCTCGTGTCCCGCCGCTGGTGCCGGTGTCAGAGGCAGTCGTTAGCAAACCAGGACAAGCCCAGGCCGGCCCACGTCGGCACAGGACAAAGGGGGGGAAAAGCAAAGCATGTAATTGCAACTGTTTTTTTGCTCCGATGCCAAACCGCAAGCTACTTAGTACGCTAATGTCAGCTAGCATGCGCGCCAATCAAGCTGTCACTCAGATCAATGGTGTGAAGGTTATGGATTCGGAGTTAGCTTTGATAGATGCGACGCTATGATGCATTGATTTTAGATGAGTTTTGGAGTCAGTTGAGTTTGAGGAATATTCAACACAAACATTGAGTAATATTTTGGTTTCTTGGCTTTTGGAATTTAATATTGTTATTTTTTTACATGATTGAAGGTTTTTTTTTCTTTCTGTAGTTTCCATCACGATCTCTGTTGTGGCATTTATCAATTCAATTCAATGTATTTGTGTATCGGCTTCTCAGCAAGACGGTCCTGAGTTCGAATCCTGGTAAAAACAGGGCCTGGAGTGGAGTTTGCATGTTCTCCCCGTGTCTGCGTGAGTTTCCTCCGGGTACTCCGGTTTCCCCTACCACTAAAAACATGTACAGTAGTTATGGCATGTGCCTCCTGTACTGGCCCCGCTCTGTGTGGAGTGAGAGACTGAGGCTGTAGACCCAGGACTGAGGCTGTAGACCCAGGACTGAGGCTGTAGACCCAGGACTGAGGCTGTAGACCCAGGGACTGAGGCTGTAGACCCAGGGACTGAGGCTGTAGACCCAGGACTGAGGCTGTAGACCCAGGACTGAGGCTGTAGACCCAGGACTGAGGCTGTAGACCCAGGATTGAGGCTGTAGACCCAGGACTGTAGATCCAGGACTGAGGCTGTAGACCCAAGACTGAGGCTGTAGACCCAGGATTGAGGCTGTAGACCCAGGAGACTGTAGACCCAGGACTGAGGCTGTAGACCCAGGACTGAGGCCGTAGACCTAGGACTGAGGCTGTAGACCCAGGACTGAGGCCGTAGACCTAGGACTGAGACTGTAGACCCAGGAGGCTGTAGACCCAGGACTGAGGCTGTAGACCTTGCAGGACTGAGGCTGTAGACCCAGTCCCATTTTCGTGTAAATCCAAAGACATAAAAATGCATTTCCGTTAAAAGTTTGTGTATAAATTGATTGAACCTTTGGAATGAGTTTTTCATTGAACTCTGAGTTATGTTTTCAGAAACATGAGGCTGGGAACGCCGATTCTCCACGAGGCTTTTAGCCCGATATCCGCTTACCCTTCGGCGATAGCGTTACGTCATCCATCACTTTGATCAGGGTATGATTGGCGGCAGAGTGGGCGGGACATGGGTCGTGTTTCACAGTTTAACCCGAGCTCACCCCGGAACATGCCTCGGGTCGGATCCACACATTTTAACTTCTATCGATGCTAATTGTGGTTTCATTATTTATGGGTTTGTTGAGAGAAAGTGGAAACATAGACCATGCTCAGTCCCTGCATTAAAATCCAAAGGTGTTCGGAGTCAGAGAGTTCAGTTAGTTCAAGCTGATTTCAGATGAAAGAGAAACTGAGGCAGGACTGAGGCTGTATAGACCCAGGACTGAGGCTGTAGACCCAGGACTGAGGCTGTAGACCTAGGACTAAGGCTGTAGACCCAGGACTGAGGCTGTATAGACCCAGGACTGAGGCTGTAGATCCAGGACTGAGACTGTAGACCTAGGACTGAGGCTGTAGATCCAGGACTGAGACTGTAGACCCATGACTGAGGCTGTAGATCCAAGACTGAGGCTGTAGACCCAGGACTGAGGCTGTAGATCCAGGACTGAGGCTGTGGACCCAGGACTGAGGCTGTATATCCAGGACTGAGGCTGTAGACCCAGAACTGAGACTGTAGACCCAGGACTGTAGACCCAGGACTGAGGCTGTAGACCCAGGACTGAGGCTGTATAGACCCAGGACTGTAGACCCAGGACTGAGGCTGTAGACCCAGGACTGAGGCTGTATAGACCTAGGACTGAGGCTGTAGACCCAGGACTGAGACTGTAGACCCAGGACTGAGACTGTAGACCCAGGACTGAGGCTGTAGACCCAGGACTGAGGCTGTAGAGCCAGGACTGAGGCTGTAGACCCAGGACTGAGGCTGTAGACCCAGGACTGAGGCTGTAGACCCAGGACTGAGGCTGTATAGACCCAGGACTGAGGCTGTATAGACCCAAGACTGAGGCTGTAGACCCAGGACTGAGGCTGTAGACCCAGGACTGAGGCTGTAGACCTAGGACTGAGGCTGTATAGACCCAGGACTGAGGCTGTAGATCCAGGACTGAGACTGTAGACCTAGGACTGAGGCTGTAGATCCAGGACTGAGACTGTAGACCCATGACTGAGGCTGTAGATCCAAGACTGAGGCTGTAGACCCAGGACTGAGGCTGTAGATCCAGGACTGAGGCTGTGGACCCAGGACTGAGGCTGTATATCCAGGACTGAGGCTGTAGACCCAGAACTGAGACTGTAGACCCAGGACTGTAGACCCAGGACTGAGGCTGTAGACCCAGGACTGAGGCTGTATAGACCCAGGACTGTAGACCCAGGACTGAGGCTGTAGACCCAGGACTGAGGCTGTATAGACCTAGGACTGAGGCTGTAGACCCAGGACTGAGACTGTAGACCTAGTACTGAGACTGTAGACCCAAGACTGAGGCTGTAGACCCAGGACTGAGGCTGTAGAGCCAGGACTGAGGCTGTAGACCCAGGACTGAGGCTGTAGACCCAGGACTGAGGCTGTAGACCCAGGACTGAGGCTGTATAGACCCAGGACTGAGGCTGTATAGACCCAAGACTGAGGCTGTAGACCCAGGACTGAGGCTGTAGACCCAGGACTGAGGCTGTAGACCCAGGACTGAGGCTGTAGACCCAGGACTGAGGCTGTAGACCCAGGACTGAGGCTGTAGACCCAGGACTGAGACTGTAGACCCAGGACTGAGGCTGTAGACCCAGGACTGAGGCTGTAGACCCAGGACTGAGGCTGTAGACCCAGGACTGAGGCTGTAGATCCAGGACTGAGGCTGTAGACCCAGGACTGAGGCTGTAGACCCAGGACTGAGGCTGTAGACCCAGGACTGAGGCTGTAGACCCAGGACTGAGACTGTAGACCCAGGACTGAGGCTGTAGACCCAGGACTGAGGCTGTAGACCCAGGACTGAGGCTGTAGACCCAGGACTGAGGCTGTAGACCCAGGACTGAGGCTGTAGACCCAGGACTGAGGCTGTAGACCCAGGACTGAGGCTGTAGACCCAGGACTGAGACTGTAGATACACACATATATTACAGTTAGCTATCAACCGTATCAGTAGTAGTCTGAAAATCATGGTTCCAACGTTATAACTAGAGAAAATGATTGTATTCTGATTCATCAACACAAGTCTGTACAAGTCTGACTTCAATTTGTATCTTCAAGATCCAATAGAAATAAATAATTAAAAATGATCAGATCCATTCAAGATTTGGAATTTGATTAGTGTTGGAATTTGCGTCTCCTTCCGCTTATGATTTTGCCTAAACTTCATGATAAAAGTGCAGATTCTAAATAGTCTCTGTGTAGCTTGGCAGCCCTTATGGCCCCCAGCCCCTGCCTCTGCGGCCCCCGTGTCCACGCCTCATCCCGTCCTGGCTGCCTCCTCGCCACCTCTCCTGGCCGCCTCTCCCCGTCCGGGCCCTGGGTGACGGCTCCTGGCCCCGGCATCCATCCTCGTTGGGCCTCTCCGTGACAGACTTGGTGAGCGTGGCACTTTTCACAGGGCCCTAGCTAGCATAACGGGGGGGGGGGGGGGGGGGGGGGACTGGCTAACCTCCCACCCCCTACCCCCCCCCGAGGCCCCTAAACCCCCCACCCCACTCCTCTCTCCAATGTTTTCTGGCTCCTCGGCTGTTCCCTTTGAGCGCCGCAGGTTAAACATTAGCATGGATGATAAAGATTAACTGGGTGTCAATGGAAGACGCTGATGGGAGAGTTTTCGCTCCTGAACCGGGCCACTTAGCGGGAGAAGGGCCAGAGAGGGTCCGGGCGACGGGACATATGATGTAATTCTGCGGGGGCCGAGGTGAAACTTCTCTGCATCGGCAAAGAAACCGGGGCCAGATGCTCTTTGCAAAGGATTCTGAAATACTTTGGGAGCTGCAGAATCTCTGGGTGATATTTTATTCCAGTCTCTCTTTTGGGCGTTAGTAAAAATGGTTCAGCCCGACTTTAGTCCGAGTGTGAAAATACAGGTCTGTCCAAGAACAAGAGACTAAAAGACAATTTGTTAATGGACTAGTGCTAGTAATTAGACACACTTTATAACCAATTCTGCGTCTGCTTCGTCCAACCCCGTTTTTTAACACTTTTAAAACACGTAAAACTCTGTCCTGCTTCAAGTTTCATGTGTTTCAATGGTTTTCAGGCTGTTTTGGTTTAGGACGGCACAGTGGCTGAGTTTGCATGTTCTCCCTGTGTCTGCGTAGGTTTCCTCCTGGTGCTCCGGTTTCCTCCTGGTGCTCCGGTTTCCCCTAAACCGTGAATTTGTTTGTATCATATGAATGCATTGATGATAGTAATTAGAGTACTACAGGTACATACTTCACAACCAAATTAGCGTCTGCTTCGTCCAACCCCCTTTTCTTTTCTGCCGTTGGTATTTTTTTGCGTCTGTTTTTGTTTATACTTTTAAAACCGATACTACTTGTAAAACTCTATCATGCTGCTTGAAAATACAGGTCTGTCCAAGAGCAAGAGAGACTAAAAACCAACAAAAACTATGACACGGGTTGCAACCAATTCTGCGTCTGCTTCGTCCAACCCCCTTTTTTCTTTTACACTTTTAAAACACGTAAAACTCCTGCTTCAAGTTTCATGTGTTTCAATGGTTTTCAGGCTGTTTTGGTTTAGGACGGCACAGTGGCTGAGTTTGCATGTTCTCCCTGTGTCTGCGTAGGTTTTCCTCCGGGTGCTCCGGTTTCCCCTAAAGCTAAAAACATGTACCGTAGCTCCAGTCGTCTTGAACCTACACAGGCCTGTGACGTCTCACTCTTTTTAATGCACGATATAAGGTTCGAAAGTAACGTGTGATTCTGCGTTTTGAGTCTTAAACAAATAAACTCGCCTCGCCTTTTCAAACAGATAGAAAATGGGAAAGAATCTCGATATTGTTCTTTAATATCACAATTAGATATTTTACCAAAATCGTGCAGATTGTCCAAAAACTTCAGTCAAAGTGACACAAAAATATGATGACAGAACACACTGGTCCATCAAAGCCTCCGACCAAACACCATTCACTCACTCTGGGTCTGATCCTAGTGGCTGCAGTCTCCTCGGTTGAATATCCTCCGACCAATCAGTGAGCGGGGGAGGCGGGTGTTGGTCGGTGTCGGTGACGTCAAGAGTTGTTGCTGAATTTGCTGGTTGTAGTTTGTCGGAGAGTGCGAAAGTAAAATAATCTGTTCTGTTTCAATCCAAATATCAAGAAACTGAAGCCGGAGCAAGAGGAATGTTTAGTAAATGTCATTGAAGCAAATAGCGGAGATGGCTAAAGCTAGGCTAAATGCTAAAGCTAGGCTAAATGCTAAATGCCTCACTTACTCGGGCTCATTACATACGTCACAGTAAACTCAGATCCAATCGTTTCAATCTGCAAAAGGAGTTAGCCCCTCCCACCTGTTCACGGAGTCAATGCAGCAAATCCAGACCTTAGTACAAATGAAATGAGTACAGTGGTGCGGTAAGACCAGGCCGATTCAGACTACTACATGTTTTTAGCAGGGAAACCGTAGAGCAAACCTAGGCAGACTTATTAATACTATATACTTTGCAAACCTCAGCCTCCGTCATCGCTCTCTCTGAACAGACAGACGGACATTTCCTACAGCCCCGGAGCCTCAGGAGCCGATGAAAAGTCTGTGTACGGAGCCGGGGCCAGTTCAAGACCATTTCACCTGAACAGCGGGGGCCCCTGATGGATCTGCTGACAGGGGCCGACACGGGATCCAAGATGGCCGACTCTCATGGGATCAGCCCGAGAGCTATAGGGGCCTGCAGGTCTAAGGTCACACAGGTTTAGAAGCGGGGGCTGGAGGGGCTGTATCTGAGAGCCAGAGCCTGTCAGAGCTCTGAGGCTAAGCAGGGTAGGGCCTGGTTAGTGCTGTGATGGGAGACACAGTGGGGCGGCTGCGGCTGTAAAGTGCCAAACTGTGGTTGTGTCCTCAGGCAAGACACTTCCCCCACATTAGAATGAGTCTGGTGTGTGTGTGAATGGTTGGTGATGGTGGGAGGGGCCGATGGCACAGACTGGTTGCCTCGCTTCCGTCAGTGTGCCCCGGGGCAGCTGTGGCTACAGTAGTAGTTTTTTGCGACTGTGTTTGGAGAGAAGGAATGTGAAGAGACTTTGAGAATCCAGAAAAGCACTTTATTTTTGTTATTATTATTATTATTTTGATTATTATTATGATTATTATTTTGATTACAGTCATATATTTGACTGTAAACATTGTACCAAAGTTGTTGCTAACTTTTCCTCTCAGAGACTGTTCTTTTGCTTTGTTCTGTCTTAGTTCTTTTGTTTGGTTTTGATCATCTCTGAGAATAGACAATCATCCTCCAGTCATTCAGTTCATTTCATTAATTTGATTTGGATTTTTCTGTTTGAGAATTTGAAATGATGTCATCTACTGGTGGGGGTTGGTATTACACCTCCAGTCCCTGCGATATCAAACTGAAGAGACCGGACTCAAGTCGACTCGTGGAACCAGGAGAACCTCTCATTCTTTCACAACAACAGAAAGTGAAGTGTGGACATGTGTAGAACAGACAGAGACACAAACAGAGAAACCAGTGGAAAATCCTTTGCATCAGAGACTTTTATTGAATATGAATTTGGATCAAAGACATGAAGCTTCATACTAGTAGCAGTAGTAGTTTTAGCAGTTGTAGATGTAGTAGAAGCAGTAGTAGGAGCAGTTGTAGTGGTAGTATAATACTTGTAGTAATATAGTACCCAAAAAAGTGCACAGGGCAGAGCACAGAGCAGAGAGACAGAGTAGGACACAGAGTAGGACACAGAGTAGGACACAGAGCAGAGAGACAGAGTAGGACACAGAGTAAGACACAGAGCAGAGAGACAGAGTAGGACACAGAGTAGGACACAGAGCAGAGAGACAGAGTAGGACACAGAGCAGAGAGACAGAGTAGGACACAGAGCAGAGACAGAGTAGGACACAGAGCAGAGAGACAGAGTAGGACACAGAGTAGGACACAGAGCAGAGAGACAGAGTAGGACACAGAGCAGAGAGACAGAGTAGGACACAGAGTAGGACACAGAGCAGACAGACAGAGTAGGACACAGAGCAGGACACAGAGCAGAGAGACAGAGTAGGACACAGAGCAGAGAGACAGAGTAGGACACAGAGTAGGACACAGAGCAGAGAGACAGAGTAGGACACAGAGCAGAGACAGAGTAGGACACAGAGCAGAGAGACAGAGT